TACACACATATACATACATACATATATACATACATATATATACATACATACATACACATACATACATACATACATACGTACATACATATATACATACATACATACAAACAGACAGACAGACATACATACATACTTACACACAGACAGACATACATTACATTACATTACATTACATTACATTTACATGTACATTTGCATTTGCATTTACATTTACATTTACATTTACATCACATTTCATTACAATACATTACATTATATTACATTACATTACATACATACATACATAGATACATATATACATACATACATACATAAATACATACATACATACATATATATATATATACACATGTATATACATACATATATGCATGCATGCATGCATGCATGCATGCATGCATACAGGCATACAAACATCTAATGATATGTATGTACGGAATGCAAACATATGCACACATACATGTATGAATTCACACATTACATACATTGCGCTACATTGCATTGCATTTCGTTGCATTACATTCGGTTATATACGTTGCAGTGCATTTCGTTGCATTACATTACGTTACATTGCACTGTATTACATTGCGTTACACTACATTGCATTACATTTGCATTTACGTTTGCATTTACAATTTACATTTGCAGTCACATTTACAGTTACATTACATTACACATTGCGTTGCGTCACGCTACTACATTACGTTACGCTACGTAACCTTGCATCACATTACGTTGCGCAACCTTACGTTGCAGTACGCAGTACATTACTGATTGGTGGTTTGGAACATTTTATACTTTGCCATATATTGGGAACAATAATCCCATTTGACTTTTATATTTTTCAGAGGGGTAGGTATACCACCAACCAGATTACATTATTGCATTATCTGGCGTTACCATTATTTTTGTACACACATAAATATATACACATTGTCGCCCCCCGCAGCCTACCTTCCTCGTCATGCAACCCACCTTCATCGTTTTTTTTTGCGTTGTTTTTGGAAGTGTAAATCCATGTAAATCGTACTCTTGTCCATTTATGTACCTGTCTATCTACCCGTATTCAATCTATAAATGCACGAAATGGAGGTTTCCTAAGTCATAGCCCCGAGTTATCCTCTTGCGGGGATTTTCCATCCAGGTCCGCAGCGACTTGGTCGATGTGCGCCAGATCTGCTCCAGCCGCGGCGCATTCGCCGCGCTGACAGGGTCGGGGCGAGTTGTGGTCTGGGGCCAGCGAGAAAGCGGTGCCCTGGCAGGTTGAGTCGAGGCTCCGGTGTTTTGATGGGGTTTAATGGGATTTGAATCATCGTTTAATTAATGGGATTTCATGGGATTTAAGAATCATTTAACGGGATTCAATTTCAACGGGATGTATTGGAATTTAACAATGATCTAATGGGATTCAATGGGATTTTAACCATTGTGCTCAATGGGATTTAATGGGATTGAACAATCATTTAATGGGATTCAATAGAAATTAACTAGCATTTGATGGGATTTACTGGAATGCTCAAACTAAGTTTGACATAATTTACAGTAACTGTCATTTCATGTGATTAAATGAGGATTTCATGGAATAATGATGTGTGAATAATATTGAATAATGGGATATACCCCCCCGTCATCAAATGTTGCTGCTGGAAAATACACTGTTTCTAGTTGTTTTTCCCAACTATAAACCTCCATTTAGTTTGAAATTTCTCATTGCTATGTTTTGATGCTGGTGATATTTCAGATCAAAAAAGTGCTAAAAAAGTTATCCAACTTCCATTCTTTTACTCAGAAATCAAAAAAGTTCTCGTTCTAAACCACTTGAACTATGCAAGAGAAACACATAGAACGGTGCTGCCCTGGTGACCTGAGCACGGGATTTATCGAACTTCCATCGGTTGTTTTCGGGTGAGAAAACTCAAACATTGGGGGTTTACCCTCCGGTAAACGTTTACAGTCTGCGAACTGGAAAATCACTATGTTCAATGGGTAAATCCACTATTTCGACTGGGTCATTTTCAATAGCTATGTTAGTTTACCAGAGGGTAACATGCCTTAATCAGGATTTATCGAGCTTCAACATTGAATGTGGGACTATTTCTGTCGATATCATTAATAAATGATGGCTGGTTGGTTTTATTTATGATGGCTGGTTAGTTTGAACATCATTTGCTTAAACCTGGCTAGACAAACCAATCAAAAACCTAAATCTTGTGGTACATTGAAATTGATGCACCTCTAAATCTACTGCTTGAGTCTGGTTCATCAACATTTTCCCACATTGCAGTAGCTTGTGGGGTATATAGCATAATTCATTTTCAGCCAGACCCAAATGGTCCCAGACATGGTTTCCTTGGAACAATGTGCAGGAAACCCCTACTTGGGGGTGCACACATCAATAATGGAAGTGGACATGTTTTCCTCAAATTACCTCTGGGAATTCGTATTTTATCTCCAAGTTCTCCATGAAACACTGATGAAAAATGGTTGCAACTTACCGTCAACACATACTTTGGACTTAGAACTGGGGTTTAAAACTACCCCAGTTGGAGGTTCCCCATCAAGTAGATACTGAAAAAGGGGTCTGAAAAAGGAGGAAGTTACCATTCCATCTGATCGTTTGGAAAATCAGTGTCCCCATGAACATGAATCATAACAAAACACCATGGATTCGGGTGTCCCTCAGTTTCGGACAACCGCAAATGATCAAGAATTGGAGAACTCATTTCTTGTCGACAAGTTTCCTATATCATCATATTTTTGGTACATTCTGGATGTGGAAAACCTAAGAATCAACTCCAATTCGGTCTTCTTGGTAACATGCAGTACTTGTACATGAGGGCATGGTTCATGATTGTTTAGACTCTATCCTCAGTCCAAGCCAGGTTGCTGGACAATGCGAGAAAATCTCCACTCCTTCACAGAATTTCCCACGAAACGTTGGCATTTCCCAGCCAACCATATTTGACCACAAGAGGGCACCCTGCCTTTTCATATGAACATGGGCATGGTGAATTTCTCGTGCAGATTTTCTTGCCCATGGGCCTGAGGTAGATTAACACCCGCGTTTTCATGGATTTTTAGCAGCATGTTCGTCGATGACATGAATTGAACACAGATTTTTGCAGTATTTTTTGTCATCAATTTTTCTTCTGTCAATCATGTTGAACCCAGAGTCCTTTTAGATTAAATGCTTAAACATATGGGCGGTAACCTTCGTGTTGCATGGTTCATCATGTTCCAATTATACTCCAGTACACCCATGGATTTCACCAGCCCTTCGATGCATTCTGTATGTTGGGGGTTATCTCCCGTTACGTATCCCGAAGAGTTCCCCACAATTTTTTGCAGTCCGAAATTCCGATGATGATTCCCATTAAAAAAAACAGGAGCTTCCCTGCACTTTTTTGATGCCCGGATTTTTCATGTTCCCATGATTTTCCCCATGGATTTTGTGGCTTCCCACCTTTGGTCCCTCCCAAGGTGGCTACCTCCCTTCGCACCGGGCGGCGCGGCTGCAGCGTGTGGTGCGACTGGTTGCGAGCTCCGGAGCCTTCGCCGCGCTGACCGAGGGAGGCTGGGCAGCCTGGAGAGTTAGTTTTAGATGAGTGAAATATACCAGAAGTGATGTTTTTCAGATGGGTTATTTTCACAATTTACCCAGGGATTTGAGTGAACATTTAATTTTCCAGGCCAGTTGTTAAATGTTATGAACGGGACCACAGATGGCTTAGGACTATAATGTTTTCGATTTGAGGTACCGCATTTTGACCTATACCCAGATGATTCACTTGTTCAAAATCATGGTTTAATAAGAAACTGAATCGGGGAAAGGGGTCCCGTCCCAAGATTTTGGTTCATATAGGGCATTTATGTTCTTATTAGTTGCCAATCTTTTGCCATAAGTGTCTTTATTTCTTATTTACTTAATCTAACCAGCTCATCTAATATGGGAGTTTTTTTCACGAGGGATTCACAAGAGGGTTTCAATGCTAGTCTGGTTGGTGGTTTGGAACATTTGGATTATTTTTCCATATATTGGGAATTTCATCATCCCAACTGACGAACTCCATCATTTTTCAGAGGGGTGGCTCAATCACCAGTAATTCATGGTCTGACTTGGATGATTTGGGGGTACCCGACCTTTTTTGGATCACCTTTTGCCCACCTCTCCAGGGACGGTGCTCTCCTGGGGCAGTCCCCAGCATGGCGGGGAACTTCCGCAGCTGACCGACGTGGTGGAGATCTACGCGTCCTACCGAGCCTTCGCGTTCCGGAGATCGGACGGCCAGGCGAATGGCGTTTTTTGTCGCGGTGGATGGGGTTGAAAAATGGGCACCTTTCATCCATGAAACATGGGAGAACATGAGTAGATCAGCGACAAACATGTAGTTGGTGATTCACTCAAAAACGAGTTCTAATAACTATATGTGATGTTTTCTCCACAGGAATGCAATGATCTAGGTTGACACAGCAAGACTTTAGACCACGCAAGACTAAGGAAGATCAGGGATCTTGTGTCAGACAAGCAAGTTTTCGTCGTCATGTTGTGCAACGTACCATGACCAAGACTATGGTCTTGGACCGAAAATAAAAACAACTAAATCCCAGGCTTGGAGTGTGGAGCCAGTGATAATATAGCATCATACTCTTTCTGAAATCTATCCTATAGTGTAGTCAAAACACCAACACCAGTATTTTTGTAGGATCATATCGCTGAGATCAGAACCAACCATTAGATCTGGCACAATCCGTAAAGTTGTTCCCCATGGGATAAAATAACAGTTCGATGTGGAAAACCCATGCTTTCCCTAGGAAAATATCTACACATAGTGGGTTCTCCAACCATCTTAGGTCAACGTTTGCAGGAGACCATCCACCGTCCCCCCCGGGCATCAAACATGGTTCAACGGAAAATTAACCAGTCTAAATCACCCACTGGTAGATGACTTTTTCATTATTACCTCTTTATTTACCAATTTTTTGTCATCCACTGTAAAGTCATCCTCCATAACTGGCCCATAACCATGGTAAATCAACCTACTTGCCACCCATATTTGACCTTTCAAAAAGCGGCTCGACGTCCACCCTTCACTCGGCCTGCGATGCCATCTCTCGCTGGTCAAAAATCCCCATTTTTGGATGGTCAAAAACCTCCAAAAAGCCGATGAAATCCCAGTTTGTCTACGAATTTCTGCGGCTTAACACCTTTTTCTTGCTGCTTGAATAGATATCTATAGATTCTACTCAACTCCTCATGTTTTGGATGATGAGCTCCCCATTTTTCTGGTGCCAGGTGATCACCTGGGGTGGGGCCTCTCCGGGCGGCCAGCGTCTGTTCGACCTTGGCGCGCGGCGCCTGCACGGAGTGGTGGGGAGCAACGCGGCCTTCGCCGGCATCCTGGAAGATGACACGGTGCCCCACGGCATTTTTGGTCGGAAAGGGACACTTCCAATGGGGGCTCTCCGGAGATCCCCACTTTTCTATACTTTTCGGGTTTTGCCATTGAATCCGCGCTGCTACTTTTCGAGTTTTCGCGTTTGCCCCGGGCAGATCCCCAGTCACCATGGCATGGTGACGACTGGATGATTTGAACGCCAAGGAAACCGCCATTTGATTGAAATAGAAGAACCAAACCGTTTGTTCAGCCTCAAAAAGATGCTTCTGAGTCAAAATCCACATTATTCGTCATTCTTCTTGGTCCACCAATATCTCATATTATCTGCATTGTCGCTGGCCGCTAGTCATATCTTGTGTTCTGTTTGCCTACATCCCTCCTTAAACTCTAATGTAACAACCCCGTATTTCTCTTACTGGATCGTGAGTAATCAAAATTGCACGAATCTGTGGATTTGTGGCTTCAAAAAATTACCAATTCCCATCAATTCCCCTAAAGTTCCTTCCCCCTGGCATGAAATACTCTCTCTATCTCTCTCTCACATTATGATTTAGTAGGATCTAGTGATTCTCGCGTTCCTTGGGGTATTTGATGCTTGAGGGATGGGATTTTACCATATTCTTGCCGGTGATATCACCTATTTTTCACGTTAAAACCACTGGAAATACCACTGGAACCACCATATGATATATATATATATATAACCCCTAGATACCCATCAATAGATGTCCATCCTACAGGCTAAAGTCCCATGTCCCATCATGTCCCTGCATAAGTTGTTTCACCTTGTGCACCCCATTCCATCCACTGGTGGACAATCATTGCATACAGATAGCAATGGCTCGGGGTACCCTCTGGTAAACATACAAAAAGCTATTGAAAATTGCCATTTATAGTGAGTTTTCCCGTTAACAATTGTGATTTTCCATAGTTATGTTAGTTTACCAGAGGGTAAATCCTGACTTACTTTTCTTGCTGACAGTTTCTGTGCAGACCCATTGGCAAATTTACCTAGATGTTTTTTGTTTTGTGGTTTTATAGCTTCCAGTTCTCTATGACCCAATTGAGTCCCACAATCTGAATCATCATGATTATCCTTTGGATCTATTTGGGATGTCCCCCTTCCCGGACAAACCCAAATACCGTAATTATTGTATACGGCTACATATCCCATTAGACTCCATGATATTTTTTCCCCATGATATCCCCATTCTACCCCTCCACTTAGACATATCTCATTCACCCATTACATCCCCGTAGATCCAATTCTATCCTTGTTATTAACCCATATCCCACAACATATCCCATATTGTTTGTTGCAATTTATTTAATTATTTAATTATATATAATTATATATGTTATTATGTACATCTGGATGAATTATGATGACCTCACTGTGATGCCGCTGCTAAATGGTGGGAATAATACGAGAAATCATCCAAAACAGCTGTAGAAAGAATCAGGTGCGTAAATTGTTGTAATTTAGCCAGAGATCCATATTATATGTTCCTACATATGTTCCATTACTTTCGTTTCCCATGATATCAAAACAACATATCCCCATTGAGGGGTGTTTTTATATCATGTTTATATCCATAAACCATCCATAACCTCTGGTTATTTAACATAGCCATGGAAAATCCCTTATAAATGGAGGTTTTTAATGGGACAATTCACTACAAATGGGCCATTTTCCATGGCTATGTTAAATAACCAGAGGGTAAACCTCCGAAAAGTCTCAGAATCTCGCATTGCGACCTTTCAGGTGGTGACGTGGGGAGCGCACGATGAATGTGAAGGCTTCGACAAAGTCAAGCACGAGCTGTCACTTGACGTCCAGGGAGCAATGGCCAGGGGCTACTGCGACATCTCCCCAATGATGGGCATATTTTACAAAAAACGATGGAAAGATCCACCATTTTATAGCTGGGTAAATCCACTATTTCGACTGGGCCATTTTTTTCATAGCTTTTTGTAGATGTTTACCAGAGGGTATGCTATTTTAAGAGGGAAATCAAATGGTGAACGGATTTTGGGGTGCACTATTTTCAGACACAACCACATGGGTTTGATGGTTAGGACATGTTTGGCACTCAGGAATTTCAAAAAAATGGTGATTAAACATGAAAAATTGAGATTCAACCAGCAAAAATGGAATATTAGTAGTGATCTAGTGGAATCTAATGGGATATAGATGGGGATATAAGCGGACATATACTGTAAATGGGATATAAAATCGGATATAATGTTTCATAATTGGGATCTAATGGGATGTAATGGTGGATATGGTCAGATGTAATGGCATATGACGAGATAAATGGGGATCCAATGCGATATAAATGGGGATATAAATGGGAATATAGTTTTTTTTTTGGGATATAACACCTCAACAGGGTTTGTCCAGAAATAGGGTATGCCCCAAAATTGTAGTTATAATTGGAAACATGATGATAATCCTATGGAGTTGGGGAAATTGTCCTGTTTTCAGGCAGACCCACACATTTTTTTATATATAGGTACTCGGTTGCTATGCAATTTACAGTTTTCCAGTCATGTTGTCGGTTACAAGCCACTTACTCGGCGACCGGTACACAATCAGCACCTCTGGGTTGCATGACATGAGCAACAGTGATGGTCGTGTGTACACAGCAATGCCATAGAATGCCTGATCTATGACGCAAGGATGTACCCAAGAACAGCCCCGAAGCATTTTTGTTGCTTACGTTGAGACAAACTCGGGAATTCCACAAAGTCACTTCAAGCAGTATCTTCTTCCGAAGCACAGTAAATCGCCCAAGAAATCTGGGGATGACCATCATCTTCCCATATTTTCCATTTTATGCTTATATTTTTCCATCATCTTCCCATATTTTCCCAACATTTCCCAGATATTTTTTCCATCATTTTTTCCACTATTTCCCATGATTTTCCCAACGTTTTTCCAAAGGTTCGACGTTGAGAGCCTCTGCAGCAGCAGCGGCGCCTTCGCCGCGCTGCGCCGGGACGGTGCGGTGCGCTGCTGGGGCGATGCGGCGCTGGGCGGCCACGGAAAGGCGGAGACGGCGACGGCGCTGGTGGCCACGCTGGGAGCGTTTGCGGTGCTGAGGTTGCGGTGGGGGGGTTGGGGGACAATAGATTTTTAATGATTTACCATTTGGTTATTTAACATAGCCATGGAAAACCCTTATACATGGAGGTTTTAATGGGAAAATCATCTATAAATGGGCCATTTTCCATGGCTATGTTAAATAACTAGAGGGTATATATATATGGGCATTTCCTGAAATGGGAATATACCCCTAAGTCATGCATTTTAATTTTGCATTTCCGATTGTAAATTATAAACCATCCATTTTAGGGTACCCCCATTTCTAGAACCCCCCATATCTATATTATGTATATATATATATATTGATATACTGATATATATATACTGATATATAGACTGATATATTTAGTAGATGAAATATAGACTATAAATTGATATGTACATATATTTGGATAGATAGACTGATAGACTGATAGACTGATAGACTGATAGACTGATAGACTGATAGACTGATAGACTGATAGACTGGACCGATAGACTGATAGACTGACAGGCTATATACTGTATATATGTATATATATATATATATATACGTCCAATGGAATGTGACTATGAAAATATTGTAGAATATCGTGCAATATATGGGATATAACTAGGGAATATATCATATATATATATATTATGTATATGTATACGATGTGGATAAGACCAGATATAGGAGAACCGAAATGATTCTTGGATAATTGGCAAATGGTAGGAAGAGGGAATCATATCTGTTAATCCAAATTCAACCTGGGGCCAGTGGTGGGATCCCAGCCTTGCACAATGATTTAATGTAAGGCAATATCCATGGGCATTGGGTCAGGTTATATATATATACATATACATATACATATCAATATATATATATAGATATACATATATATATACACATACATATACATATATATATATATATACGTACATATATTACATATATATATATATATATGTAATATAAATATATATATATATATATTGAGTTGTATTGCTTACCCTCTGGTAATCGAACATGGCTGGAGAATCCTAGATTAATAGAGGATTTTCCCAGCTAACTTCCAGTTCGGGGATTTCCATGTGCCATGGTTGATGACCTGAGGGTAGTTCAAGCTCAGCTGAATCCTTGGTTGTTGTTGGTGGAACCCTCCGTTGTTCCTGGTTCAGTTCCCTATATTGTTGTTGTTTAATGTGGTAAACCCTGGCTGCCACAAACTTGCCATTACTTGTAGGGGATGGTTTTAATCCAACCCGTAAAAATCGTGATGACTTGGGGATGGTAAACATGGCATTGGGTTTACCCAGTAATTTGTTTATTCTAGTCATTTTCCCAGAATTTCGTGGTTGCTATCCCCCCAATGAACATAAACCCTGAATAGGGGGTGGGGGGTTACCGTCCTCTAAGAAAGGTAGCGATTCGCTGGGTCAAACATTCAAAAATTCACAGAAATTCATGGTCAATCGACGCTTTTGCTCGAAGATTTCATGGTTCATCATCATTGCATTTATAATCCCGTAAAATCCCATGGGATCATTTCAAATCCCATTAAATCCCATTATGGTACCATTAAACCACCAATATATATAACCCCAAAAACACATACAAAAACCATGGTTTTTGCCATCCTCGTAGCATTTTTCTGGGGTGCAGCCCCCATGAAAAACGTCCAAGCGATCCGCCCTGGCCAGGTCCGATGGTCGTGTGACCTGTTGGGGTCATCGCTTCTCCGGGGGTGAACCTGGCAGCGTGGCAGCGCAGTTGACTGAGGCCAGGGGCCCCGGCCAGGCTTTGGGGGATTGACCTGGGTGACCTGGATGACCTGGGTTTGTTTTGAAGGTGATTTACCCCCATAAACCAGCATAAAACCAGCATAAACCAGAATCCTTTGACCCCTGGATACCCCTGGTCTTTTTCCATGACCCATGACCCCTGATCTGATCGCTGATTAAGATCTGACATTTATGATACCATCTGGTTATTTATCATAGCCATGGAAAATGCCAACCATAAATGGAGGTTTCTAGCTGGGAAAATCATCTATTTCTATGGGCCATGGCTAACCCATGGCTATATTAAATAACCAGAGGGTAAGGTGATTTATGTGATTTGCTATTTTCCCAATGGAACATCCACCAGACATGGTGAATCTATAGTGAATATTTCTTATTTTTGGGGGGAAGCGAATCCAAGATGATGGTGATTTTATGGAGAATGGGAGAGGATGGCAAATGGGAAGAGTGTTTTGAGACTTGCTGAGATAAAAAATGGGAAGAAAATGGCAAATGCAATGGCTTTGAAAAGTGATTTAGTGGTGATTTAGTGGTGATTAATGGGATTTGATGGGATTGAATGGGATTATAATGGGATTTAAGGTAACGGTTGGAAATAATAGGAACAAAGAAATCCTTGAGGGTATAAACATACACACACATTGTTTTTTCCGATCATGTTTTTGAAATATGTAATGGGTTAGTGATATCTATTTCCTATATTAATCATGCCATTATTACTGGATTGACGGAACTGGAAAGATCTTAGACATTTGTAAGGGATATCAAAAGTACAGCCCTCTAAATCCAAATGCGCAAAAAAATGACAATTTTTGGGGTAAACCCACTGGATTTTCCCCGATTTGTATATTTTTATAGCTTAACCTGATCTCAGATTTATGGTTTAATGGTGGTTTAATGGTGATTTAATGGTGATTTAATGGTGATTTAATGGTGATTTAATGATGATTTAATGGTGGTTTAATGGTGATTCACTAAATGAATTCCAACTTATACTTCACTGGCTTTTCCCATCTCCTGGATTAGGAGATGGGAGTTCTGAAGTCAATTTTGGATCTCCAGTCACCACAAGGTGGTGCCCCCTCCAGTTATAAATTGGTTATAAACCCATTAACTATAGATATATCACCTACAAAAGCCCATAGTTATTGGAGTTATGTTCACCAACTTAGCTATCCAACGGGGGCACCACCTTGCATGGCTTAGTCGTCATCCAGTCGCCATGACGACTGCTGGACCTGTCAGGTGGTTCTCTTGACCTCTTCGGAGGTGGCTTTCACGGCCCTGCGCGCGGATGGCACAGTGCTGCGCTGGGGGCATCCATACTACACCAGGCGCCGTCGAACTCTCCTGGAGTTGATGATGTTCCGGTCCATCCACCAGAAATGGGGAATCTCTAAGGAAGATATTTGTATATATAATTATACTGGTTGGTGGTTTGGAACATTTTTTATTTTCCCCAATAGCTGGGATGATGATCCAATCTGACTCATATTTTTCAGAGGGATTGAAACCACCAACCAGTATTTGTATATATATATATACATACATACATATATTTGGGCCCCTGAAGCAAATCCAAGCGAAAACGTATATTTTTGTCCCCTTCTTGGGAGCATCAAATGATGGCATCCATAATATATGGGGTAATCCTTCCCATTGACTAATATTTTTCAGAGGGGTTGAAACCACCAACCAGATAATATATATATATAATATTTCTCAATTTTTCTGAGGGGTTAAGAGTTAAGCATCACCTTTGGGTGGTGATGTTTACAGAGGAATGGCCCCCAAAGCTGTTTTTTTCATTCTTGAGGCTTTGACCAGTTGACCAGAGCCAAACTTTCCCCCTGCATTTTGGAACAGGCAATTTGAAAAAATAACAAGTTGGTAAAGGGTAGCAAATGCTAGTTTAATTGTTTTTGGCACCTCTATGGCAATGACAACATCATGTACATGTAATGATTTATGTACATACAGACATATATATATATATGAGTATACAATTATATATAGATATATACTGTGTATATATATGTATATGTGTATATATATATATTTCTACATAGTTAACCCATATATATATATATACAGTAGAACATAACCCAACTAGACTAGTCATGACATTTGACTGGAAAATAACACGTTTCAGGTGCAACCTTTATCCAGCTGAATGAGAATTTTCTGATTTCGGGGGGTTCTCCAAAATCTGGATGTTGGCGACGTCCCATTCAATAATTTGTCTATAAATTGTTTAGATATGGCTATCTTATTGGTGGTTTCAATCATTTTTTATTTTCCATAATATGAATGGATAATCCTTCCCAACTGACTTTCATATTTTTCAACATGGTTACTCTAACCAGGAGTGTAAAACCACCAACCAGCTATAGATTGCTATAATATAAATGGTTCTAAATGGCTTGAAAATTTGCTAATTTGATGGCTATAAATGAGTGATTTCACAGGAAAAGGATTTGGTTTGATAGTAACAGTTTTATAGTTACATAATTCTAATGAATTTACAGTGGGTTGCATCTGGGTAAATTATGGAGGCCTCACATTTGGAAAGCCAAATTTCGATGGAAACTAATCTTCCAGCCTCCTATTTGGCAGGGTCTACGTAAAAAAATACTGCATGGAGCTGCTCGTACCTCATCCACTCCTGGAGAACCCCAGGCCAATGAAGGCCGAATTTTGGATACAAACCTGTGGAGTCTTTGGATACCGAAAGTTTCCCAAAAAAACGCAAAAAATGACTCATCGCTGCAGCCACTCAGTCATCACTGTTCTGGTGATTTCATTTTTGATGTTCATTCTAAGACCAAAATTTGGTCCCCTCTTCCTAATGGAATGTACAGGAAGTGGCCATCCAGTTATAGATGTTGACTTATAACCTTATCATACCTTATCTCACTGGTCCGATACTTCACTATATCCACCATAAATCCCAGGTATATTAGTTATATACCAACAGAAACCCGATCGAACTGGTGGTGCCCGTCCTGTATGGGCAAAATTCTTGGTGCGACCCATCGGTCTAGAGTTCTCCACTGACTGCTGGCTGCGGGATGTTTGCGGGTTTGGGAGGTTCCCCATCATTTTACCCTCTGGTAAACTCACGTAACTATGGAAAATCACCATTTTTAATGGGTAAATCCACTATAAATGGCCATTTTCAATAATTAGCTATGTTAGTTTACCAGAGGGTATCCAACAAGACTGGCATTTTTGGATACTTTGGGGGTCCCCCACCCCACATTTGGACAAAGGGCCAGATTTCCCCTGAGATTTTGGATGTTGAACCCGGGCTCTGATCTGATTGGCGAAATCTCTGGAATTTCATCAGTTCCGTGGGTTATTTAAGGGGAGGATATAGCCTAAAATAGTTATGAATCGCCACTGTTTTTTTTGTACCCCCAGCAGTAAACTGGGGGTTTGTCAAATCCTGGGTTCACATTACTAGGCAAAGAGTTCCTTCCAAACAACTGCGAATTTTGGCACCCGGGCGCCAAGTGACATAGAAATGTGGCATGGTCAATGGCATTTTTTTCAAAATGGTCATACCTGAAATTGTAGAAGTATATGCCATAGAAGATGCGCACCGTTTTCAATTCCAAATGGATCAAACGGCGACCAGGCACCACGTGCTTTGGATTGTTAGGGTGTTTTGACCATGGCACATATCCAGCAGAAAAATGCATGCTGACAGTGAGTGATGCGTCATCCTCTTTTCCTTGCCGCAAGGATAGAAGCGGTTCACCACACACATGGTGGTGGAAATAGCGATTGCAATGTTTTAACTGATATGCTTAGCTGACCAGAAACTTGGGAGATAACGGGTAGCAGTGACACAAGTGGAAGGATTTGTGCTCCACCCTGGCTCTCTGGTTCCAAGCAGCGAACATAAAACATCTCACCAGGAGTCACTGAGAGGCCAAATGTTACTCTTATTGGTGGTCAGATACTCCGGACACGCCTCATATGGCCCAGAACGAACAGGTTCACCACAATCCACCGCTTTCTCAGGGTTGTTTATTGTGATCAGGAGGGATTGGGGGATTAGTCCATTGTCCCAAGGTGAATTTCAGGCGCTTCTGTTGCCTCGGCAAGGCGCGCAGTGACGCAGATTCCGGGCCAAAAGCGTTCACTTTCAGGCGGCTGAAACAAGTGCGGAGCAGCCTTGGTTAGTCGACACGGGATGGGTGGGGATATTTCAGGTGAGGAACATCAAAAAACCACACCCCTCATTGGGTTTACCATATCATTATAGTCATCCCCAAATAGATGGAAAAGTAAACCACCATCAAATTAGTAGGGATTTACTTTTCCATCTATTTGGGGATGACTATATATATCATTATACTAATCAAACATGATCAACATAATCAACATGGTCTCATGCGCCAGAAACATTGCCAATTTTTGCGGAGAACATCGAGGATTCAGCGCACGATTCCTGTGATCTACCTGGCTGTTTTCCCATTCGCAAGAGATTGCCCCAAAAGGCTTGGTGCAGATGGCACCAAATCACAATGGATTCTTGATGATTCATGTGGGAAGTCGAACACCACACATTTCTCTTTGGGATTATGTATATACACTAATATTGTATCAATTATATATTAGGGATTATACTGTAGTTTATAAATCACTTAATATTCCCCAAATGGTGAAATTGGCACAAATCGGCAAACTCAGCACCCCAAATCCCCAAATCGATGTTATCTTCCGCAAATCGACGTTGCAAGGCAATGCGCATGTTGGGATTTGATTATGAAGATTCACTCCTGAATCCCTGTGCTCCAGATCTTCCAAGATCAAGAGTGGGCCCCAAAGTCAAACTGAATCAGGGTGGAACATCCAAAATCGATGGATCCTACTCCTTCCAGCTGGACTTCTCCTCGATAGGGCTGGCTTCTGCAGCACCTGTGCCAGGACAACATCCCCAAAAAAAGTGACACAGGTGCTGGCTGGTGGTTTCAACTACAGTATTACCTTATTTTCAACAGAAATGGGATGAAAATCCCCACTTACATGCTAGGCCTTCAAGTTCTCTGGCAATTTGTGGTCGGGATCCAATTTGGATCAGCTTCCTATGCTAGTTGTAGCAATCCTCTCCATCTAGTCTGACTCTACTGTGATTACGGCGTCTATCTCCATTTCTGTTGCTGGAATCTCCCAGTTTGGTGGCTTGAACCACCTTTTTTTCCATCTCCCACGTTCTTCTTGGACTAAGACATGCTGAAGTGCCGCTGTGGTCACACCCATCTCCCAGGCACAGGCTTCCTGGCGCGACTGCGCTCCTTCTTGTTGGGGTCGCCGGCCTCAGTGTCCAAGCAATTTTGCATTGAAAAGGACAGTGATGAATCACTGGTTGGTGGTTTGGTATATACATGTTTTATTTCCCCATATATTGGGAATAATAATCCTAACTGACTAATATTTTTCAGAGGGGTTGAAACCACCAACCAGATCAACAATTCGGACGCCTCTGGGATTTTTGATGGATGGGGTTCCAGATTTTGAGACCCCAAAGATGGACCGACCACGGAACTTCGGATCGCAAAAGCACTGGTGATGTGACCAGAACCAACTTATGGCTGGAAGCTGGGCTTTAGAATCACTGCAACTTAAGTGACCTTGGGGAAGTCCTCATGGTTGATCATGAAAAGTCTGAGAGTGAACTCTCTCCTTCAAATCTGATAATCTAATTTGGTCTCCAATTGAACTCCCAATTCCTCATTGTTCCTCATGGTTCCTCATGGTTCCAAAATCAATATCTTTCCCAAACATTACCCTCTGGTAAACATACAAAAAGCTAGTGCAAATGGCCATAGAAATAGTGGATTTACCCATTAAACATGGTGGATCTTTCCATGATTTTCCATAGTTACGTTAGTTTACCAGAGGGTAGATCTCTAGTTTCACCTTTTCTCCAAGAAAATCACTGTCTTCCCCACACGTTGCTTAAGGATTTTCCAATCAAAGTCACCTTATTTTTCCGCAGAAATTGTCCTGTCGGATCCTGAGAATCATCCCGGAGCTCCAGCAGACAGCTGCCTTGACGGAGAGTGGCAGCCGCCCGGGCTTTAGGACCGCCGCCTTGGCCGATGAGAGGATCCAAGCCGAGCTGGTGAGGGGAAAGACACCAGCAACAAAGCCTACTTGGACTGGTTGGTGGTTTGGTATATATATGTTTTATTTCTCCATATATTGGGAATAATAATCCTAACTAACTTATTAATATTTTTCAGAGGGGTTGAAACCACCAACCAGTGGATCTACCTTGCTGATTGGTGGTTTGGAACATGACTTTTATGACTTTCCATTCAGTTGGGAATGTCATCATCCCAACTGACTTTCATATTTATCGGAGGGGTTGAAACTACCAAGCAGCTTGTATCGATTTTTCTCGTGAGTGGTAGGCTCAGTATTTTTTAGGCAACTGTGTGTCAAAACATGGGGGAAGGGGGTGATTTGAGGAAATTTTCACCGGATACCTGCGGGGTTGGGAACAACCCTGGGCAAGTGCCAGAGGTTGTGTGACATCTAATTTTTTGTTGCTTAAATCAACTTAGATCCAAACCTTTTCTAGTTAAATCCCAATTTTCACTACTCAACTCAGCACTTTTGCTAACATAATGCCAATGTTTGTCGCTCAAATTCCCATATTTTGGCTGAATCCCAATTTTGATGGTTAAAATTTGCTAAAAAACGCCTGATTTTGATGGTTAAAATTTGCTAAAACTCCTTTTTTTTTGTGAAATTTCAGAGGATCCTTCCATATCCTAATCCAACTCGTTTCTGCGAGGACAGAGGACAGCGTGGATGTCTTGTTGAGGCGCGGAGCCTTCCATTGGATGATGATGATGATGATGATGATGATGATGATGATGATGGGTATATATATATAATGGTGATTAACAAACAATAGTGGTAAATAATAATGGTAGTGATGATGATGATGATGATGATGATGATGATGATCATGGTTTTAGCATGTTTTAGCATGTTTTACTTCCAATACCTGGTACGGGCCCATTCTCAGACGCACCCTCTTTTTTTTCTGGATATGGCAAACAGTCCTCCATTGTGCATTCTCCCTGGGAAAAAAGATGAAAACATATGGAACGAAGATGAGAACAGATGAAACAAGTACTGTAACCTTCTCCTTGAGATCTTTGGTTTATACCTATATTAAATATATTATAATCATTTCATATCA